CCGTTTATGTCCGGATCGAGTCAGGAACTAAATCGGGTTCACCTTCAAGTATCCGTCCGCCCTCAATGGTTGCGCGTGCCGTCTTGACGGGTGCAATCCATTATTTATTTTCTTTCCGTTATTAACTTTTGACACCCAAGAAGTGTACTCATCTCTCGAATTCAGTTCATCATTTTCAAACCCATGAAATTATCCGGAATTTCAACCAGAGCCACTAAATTTACGGATTTTTTGAGCCGCTGAGCTGCTGAGTTCCCGAGTAATCCCATCATTTCTGGATCAGTTCTAGATCCCAGACTCCATGAAAAGCGGAAACGAACATTTTCCGAGCTTCTGTATCCCATCATTTCCGGATCAGTTCTAGGTTCCGGATTCCACGAATAGCGGAAATGAACATTTTCCGAGCTTATACATGAAGGTAGAAGGACACGTAAAGGAATCCCACGGAATTTAACATTCAGTCGGTGATGTGAGCTTTACGATGGTGGGCAACGGCGCAGACATTTTTTCAAAATTTCTTTTGATGCTAATTTTTTTTTTTTTTTAAAGCTCAAGAATGTCGCTCACGTTGTTCTTTGTCTAGAGTCTGGAACTACTATACCCATCGCTTGAGGTAATTCGAAGTTAAAACAAAGAAAATTCGATTCAAGAGAGTTTTTGGGCTCTCAAAGGAATCCCTTGCAGAGGGAAAATTTCGAAACCAATTTCTATTATCGGTTGTTTGATTGTGTTTGTGATTAGAAGGTCCATAGTCCCTCGCAAGTTACTGCTGTGATACATTGAAAACTGTTTGAGAGGAAGAAATATCGAAATGGTCGATTTTTTACGTAAAATGTCTAAGATTTAATCATTTAACTTCGCTAGGAAATATAACACTTTGACATGATGGAAAGGAAGTTATATATGGAGTGGACTCCTAGCTCCAAGCTCATGGTCATGGTAGCCCACGTTGGCGTGATGCAAAGACCACGATGGATTGAAGTAAAGATCAGAGACTAATATCCTCAATATTCCTTGTAGAGATGATAAAGGAAATTTTACATGAGCCCAAGAAATTTCCCCGAATTTATTGGTTCAACGATTCATTATTTCAAAAATGTTTAAAAAAACGTGTCGCTCATATATACTCTATGAAATCATTTTACTTGTAACAGATTGTTCAATAATCATAATCTCTACGATTTTTAATCATAAAATTGAAATCTTGAAAGTTTGCAAGAACTGAACATGCACTCCACACTCATCAGAGAACACCACATACATGCATCAGAATCAATTTGCTAACAATTTTAAATGAAGATTGTTCTTGTTCTAATTAAGTTTCCTTGACTTTCTCTTTAAACTAAGTAGAGGAGGGTTGCAAGCTTACCAGTATGAATTTAGTACCCGTGCTTGAAACGTTCGAGCAATTGAAGAGGAATTTACTCAACTAAATTCTGAATCTCTGGTGCCTTATCGACAGTGGCGATTCTTGAAAGAAAGCACTGTTTTTTCTTCATTTAAATGTATGTAAAGCCATCGATTTCTGGTGAAGTAGCTTGCCTGATCTAAAATCAATATTCATAACTCGATCGCGGTTGTCTGATAATTGAAATACACGCTAGGTTTTATCGATGAGGATGGTGAGATTTTACGTTTGGGTCGATAATCTCGGAATGAAAAGATGACGGGCAAAAAATGTGTAATATTCGAAGGTGAAATATTAAAGGCCGGAAGAAAAATACTAATTCAATCAACAAGTAGATAATGAGTACTTCCCGTAGGAAAGGGTAGAGATCAGCCTCCCGACCATGGTTTTTGGCGCAGGTCAGTATCTAAAGGTGAAAGAGGTCAGATATCGGCTGTCGGCTTTTTTTATAGTAACATTGAAACTTCTGACACCGTTCTGCGTCATCGTTGTTAATGAGCCATGATTTGGCTAAATGAAGACGCCGACGGTCAAGTTCAGTTAGCGAAAACATACGCACTCCGTCCAATCTCCTTTTAGTTGATTGATTGCTTTTGATTTTACGAGGTTGTGGTCCAAGAAAAATGTTTTGTAATGTTTAGGAAAAATAATGATGGAATCATGATGGTGCTTCCAGAAAAATAATGCTCTGAATCTTTCATGTTTTCATCTGTTTGCTTCTGTTATTTTCTACGTCACATTTTCTCGACTGTTCAATCCACTCTTATAGCATTAATTGTTAAATCTGGACTCTTTAAAAAGAAAACGCAAAATACCGTCAAAATTTACGAGATAGAAAACTTTCAATCGCTCTTCTTCACGTATAATTCATGTGACATTAAATTGAAAAAAGTTGTGAAAAAAAATTGGCATCAATTTTTTTTTAAATCTAAAAATCTCTCATATCGATGCTACATATAAAATTAACCGCAAAATATACAACATTGAACAAAATTTGTGAACTTTTACTGATGTAAAGTTATGAAAAATGTGTAAAAGTGGAAGGCGGTAATTTCACCTGAAAAAGAACCGAGAGGATGTCCCAACTGGGATATTTTAACATATTTTTCGAGAATTTTTCTTCTTGAAATTTACGAATTTATAACTTAAGTTATCAAAAGCTAATTACGCTAATACGGCAGTTACGCAGTCACAGAAAAAGTATAGACCGAATGTTGCAACACAAAATTTTGCATCTATTCATTTCCAACGGACAACAAAACAGATTTATGTTCATGGATTTTTTTCAAAAAAAAAAAAAAAAAAAAAAAAAAAAAAAAAGACAAATATCGCAACGTTAAGAAATTTCAAATAAATTGAAAGGTGGTCGAACTTCATACTGAGCAGCGCTTTACGAAACCACATTAATTGATCTAAATTTCACGATCCAAAGTTCAATTTCTCGCTCATTTCTGCGTTAGGTTAGATATCAGGAAGTTTTTTAAAATCTATACCAGGACAGATTTAGTGACACAGGGTGAGCGCAGCACTCGATTTTAGCGCGTCGATGATTAGCGAACGCGAAAAACGATCAAGACTAATTGCATATCGTTCAGTCAATCCAGTGAACTGCCATGCTGCCACACCAGAGCTTAAATTATTCAGATTTGAATTGCATCGACGATGTGAAATAATGATTTATACCTTCGTGGCAATCTTGCAGAGCTTTTCCCCTAAATTAGCGTGTCGGTTAAGGTCGTGCCGCAATGCCAAATTCCACCAGAAATTAGAAATTCAGAAATACAGTCAAATTCATTAAAAACCCATGTACCTAACAAACTTTATTGACCCTATCGAAGGCTCCAATGAAGAAGCTGGGACCTAATTTGGTGAAATTACCCTGGATTATACACTGGAGAAAAGGGGATGCTGACTCAACATTCTGGACGTTAAATGTGTGCGACGACCCACAAAACGCTGAGTTAACCTTACATCTTGACACTGCTATAGTAATTGCTGTGGCGGTTAACTCGGCGTTTTGTGAGTTTTCGCACACTTTTTTTATATCCAGAATGTTAAGTCAGCATCCTTTTTTTTTTTCGATGAGGGCGGTTGCTCGTTCTGTACAGGGTGTCCCAGACCTCCTGAACCTGGCTTTTATCTCGGTTATTTTAGATTGGATAAAGTCGGAGACAGCGCAGCGGCAAGAAGTGAGGGACCCAAGGAATATTACGGTTATGACCCCAAGGAATACAAATTTTATATCTCCGAAGCCTCGCAGCACCCCTCGGGGATTTATTGATGTAGAGGCTCAGGAAAAAGATCGAACCATACCAGCACCCCGAGCCCCTACGCGCTATGATCCAGCCCTGAATTCCGAGGGGGAGCTCTAAATTGGACGTATTTCTGCCAAACGGAACTATGTGCATTGGTACATGAGCCCTGAGACCCATAAGAATATATGCATAACAAGGTTCACGTCATTATGCACATAGTTCCGTTTGGTATAGAAATACACGTCCAATGTGCGTCTATGTACGTCCAATTTAGAAAACTAACAAAATTACGGACAAAATCAACGCCCTCTGAAGACTTGATAGATTTTTGGACTGCCATACATGCTTCTACTCTTGAAAAAAATATATTCGAAAAAAAAGGAGCGTTACGGAGGAATATCGAAATTGAAATTTGGCGGCTCTGGACCTGTATCACTCCACTGCTGTTAATAATTCGGCATTTTTCAGTGACTGAGTTCCCCGTCCCCCGCCCCCGCCCTTCGTTCCTCTGTCGCGTGTCATTAAATCGAAGGCTTTTTGAACTAGAGCTGATTTGCATTCTGCCAGTTTGATCATTTCCCCGTGCTGATCGACCGATTGAGTGCTTTAAGCGCGACGCATGAGTTACGCCTTCTCTGCGACATGTTAGCCGGCTTATCAAATCCCATGCACTTCCTGATTCATACCAACCGATCGGACCGTGTGATTGTGATTTCGGTCAAAGAGAGTGCATTCCTGAGAAATCAAATCTATCCTACGGCGATTGGAATTTTTCCCGGAAAAATTCATATGTTTTATAGCCATACCTATAGCCATTTAAATCTATGGAAATGGATGTATAAACAGTAGGGTGTTCGAAACGAATACCTTAATAACTGATTCTTTAGCATAGCTTTGAATGGGGAGCTATCGATAAGCCATCTTTCACGCCTCACCACTGGACCCCTAAAGGATCGAAGGGTTTTGTATTTTTGGCCACGGGGCTCTCTGTGGGAACTGATCAAAATACATCAAACAATTTTCCATCCACCGAAAATGTTCGGTTGAATGTGGGTTTTTCCATGTTTTCTGGATCCCATCCCAAGTTCAAGATGAAATGATACCTCTGTTGCTACTCTCCGAAATTGTCTTCTGGGGAGATCTTTTTCTGATGCTTTGCGATTCATAGATTGATCTACCACTTTAACCGATGGAAAAGGCTTGATAAACAGGGTGTTCGGAACGAGCACCTTAATATTAGATACTTTACCATGGCGTCAAATGGGAAAATGTGGATAATGGATCATTCACGCTTCACCACTGATTTTATTAATTTATTGATTTTTTGTTTGTTGCAGAGAGGAAGACTTTACTGTCGGATATCGATGAACTGCCCAACATCATCATCGGAGACCGAGTCCTGCGGCTCGAGGTCGAGGACCTGTCTCCAGAAATGAAAGAAGTGGCGCGCAAGGAACTGCGGGAAAACCCCGACAATATACAGGCCGCCATCGAGGAATTAAGGGCCCTCCTTCAAGGTACGCACCTCCAACCAGTTTTCCCGGTTTCTCAACTGAATCGAACCCCCTCCCCCTCATGTGTTTTGCTCATGAGAAACTCGGACCATTGCAAAAATGACTGAGTTGATCCTTTATTTTCATGCAAATCCAAAATTCAACGGTGGAAGTATCGGCGGAATAAACAGGCTGAAAAAAGAGATCAGGACACGATATTTTGATTACCTCGACTCTCATTGAAAGAAAATTCCCACCAGTGACAATTTATATTTAACTAGCAATTCAAGCAATGTATTTGAAGCACTGCAGGGTGCAGAAAGGGCATTTTTTGGTTGTGGTGTCTCAATATCTCGGCCACCGGTTCATCCATTATGATTCTATCAAATTTATGTAATTTGTTGTATTTTTTACTAAATAATCTTTATGGTTTTAGTATGCGCGAAACGAATATTCCAGAAAATTTACCCTAAAGTCTTTTTTATAATAAACAAATTAGCACCGAAGATTATGAAACACCGCATCCGAGAAATGCCCTTTCTGCAAGAAACGCCTCAATTGAGGGTGAGAAAAGTTAAATATGGAGGTCAACGCTACTTTTTGCATGATGATTGCTGATGAGCAACTTTTTCAGATGAAATCAAGTCAAATTAAACTCATTTATGCTGAAAGGAAGAAAGGAACTATGTCACTCGCAATTCCTATGCACATAGTTCCTTTTAGCATAAATACGTCCAATTCGCCTGATGATAACTGATAAAAGTCGCGGTGAGCGATTTGCCACGCGAATTTCAGCGAATTCGGTCAGGATTACTGAGTAAATCGCTATAATAAAGAATGTGCAGGTGTCTGAAATTTGATGAATTTCGTGCTTAAGTGGAAACTACTGAGTGAACTGAGCTAAAGGATACCCTTGGTTCAGAAATTGAACAATTATTGGAGAAGATATGACAAAATGATATAATCTGCTAAAATACATGTGTTTAAATGTATGAAATGCCACCGGATGACGTCACTGGCCGGTGTATTTTCTCACTTTTAAATCTAATTTAATACTGTTTCCCATATCAGAAAAAATTATTAAAATACTGCAAAATCAGCTCTTTAAGCGCTTTCAGATGAAGCAATAAATTTGCATGCAAATTTTCCATTGGGTGAATCTGAGCTGAAATCCGAACGTTTGGTAGCACAAACAGAATTTTCGGGTTGACAATCTGAGTACTACGATTGATTTTGAACACTGAGCGCTCGAAGGTTCAAAATCATTGATTATTAATTTTATTTTCCTCGCCTATCAGTTAACGATGTGGGTGTGCGTGCACGCAGTGCAAAAAAAAGCTAAAACGCCTCAGATTTTTTGGTTATGCAACAAGACTATTTCTCAATGGATTCTCTTATTTGGAGACTTTAACGCAGCGTAAGGAAAAACAAATCGTAAAAGCTTAAGACGCCTTCGCTTATTTGGATGTACAACAAGTTCATCTTTAAAGTACGAATAGTTGCTTCAATTGAATCACTAATTTGGAGACTTTAACGCATGCTTAACAAAAACAACTCCATCGATTTTAGAGAAGAAGGAACCGGGGGTCCTCCCTCAGGAAATGTCTAACATTATAACTTATTTTACTCACTATGCTACCTATTTTATCTGACTTCAAACAGGCTGAAATGGTCGATTAGTTGAAAGTTATACACTGTAATTACTTTGAATCTGTGAGATTCTTTGAGCGATCCTCAACAAGCTCATCTAGCTGTAGGATCTATCCGCTCCACTAAAAATTCATTAATTTTCTTTAAATCACTTTTAAGAAAATGTTCCATGATCTTCAAATAATGTTCTCCCTTTTTTGTGTGTTCAGAGGACGAAGAGCTGACAGTTCCACTCGACAATGACACGTGGTTAATTCGGTTTTTAAGGCCTACCAAGTTCTACCCAGAAAGTGCCTACAAACTTGTAAGTATTTTTAAGCTCCTCAATGTTCTAAAAATTAATTTTATTGAACAAAAATTGTGAATATACTCTCTCTCATATGATGTCCATGCCTGCCTACTTAATATATTGCGTTTGAGAAGGGAAGATTCTTTTCGCATTTTTTCCTTCTTCTTGTTTGAGATGACGGCCTTGCTTTTTACGCAGAGTTTTTAAACTGGGGTGACTTAAATCCATGACCTATGCTTTGTTCGGAAAGTAGCTCTTGAATCGGGTTGTTTCAAATTCGCCACTTTTTACACACATCGTGAGGCAAGGACCGTGACTTTTACGATCGTATTTCTAAAGCGATTTTCATCAAGTCACTTCAATATTTAATAAACCGACATTCCTCCTTTTCCCCCAAAAAACTTGGTTCCATCCTACTTAACGCCTAGTCTAGTCATTTGTGAGACGGAGATGACGCAAATTACTAAGCATCAGCCGTATACTCACGCTCAGGCAAAATTAGGATCGTTTCTAGTTACGTCAGAGCAATCTTGACGCCTTTCCTGCATTACGTGCAACTCATCAGGCCGCATGCGGAGGAGTTGGCATCCTCAGCTATGTTTTTCACCTTTTCTTTTTCCACCGATAGGAACGTTTCATCGATTCAAGTGAAGATGCACCGAGGCACTGAGTGAGAAATTGCACCTTTTCAACTTTGATTCGATGATAATTTCAATCGCTGTGACGCGAAGTGGCATACGTGAGTGATCAGTATCCTGATTGTATTCGACGATCCTCAGGTTGCTTATTACCAGCATTTGAAAATTTTTGACAAATATAAAGACGATGCAATGATGCTATACTTAGCTATTGATATGATTGTCAACGGGAAACTAAGATATTAATACCATTTCTTAGAGGTGGATTGCATTAACATTCTGACACAAAACGCGTCTTGAAATGGAACTCCTAACAGGACCTATGGCGGTTTGTTCAAAATGTGCAGTTTTAACTTCTCAAAATTCTACGGACACTATTCAGAACTTCAACCTGCCACGCTAGGGGCTAAAAGTTAGGATGTTTAAATGCACATTTGCGGTTTCTCTTAGCACATAAATGAACTAAACGGTTGATGTAGAAATCCCGATGTTCTTATCGAGTAAACAGAGAAATTTCCACCCTCAATTCGACAAGCCTGATCATCAATTATCGCAGCCTCTCCATCTTCCCCCTCCCTCGACAACAGTATCTTACAGTGCGACTCAGCAACTGTGAAATTAGTGCTATTAATGAACAAATAATTGAATACGAGGCGTCACCAGACACCACGTGTCCAGAGTAAATGGCAGCTCACGATGCGTTTAATCACAGATATGCGGCTGTCGTTTCTTCCACGAAATCCTCTCAAATCGCCGTGTTGGAGGAGCACGTCATATGAGCTTTCAAATGTTGTAAAATTCTCTCTGTAAAATATTAATTTTTGGGAAAAATTATAATGAAATTGCCGTAAAATCAACAGATCTATTTGATCATACTGAGAATAAAAAAAGACACAAAAAAGTTTAGAAAAGTTCTCCGCAATTTTCGAAAGAAATTAATATTTTAACCGCATAATCTGACAACATCTGAAAATTCCTACGGCGATTTTCCCTGCCAGGACAGAATAGCCGCGAGTTCATGGACGCGAGCTTTTTTCCTCATTAAATTTCCGATTCACTGGACGAAGGCGGGGAAAATCCGTCGGTCCACTGGCTAAACAGGGTCCATTTCCACAGCCCCCCCACATTCGAATCTTAAACCAAAAATTATATCATAATTTTGTGCTAATTTTGTGCTATTTTGTGCCGCAAATTAAAAATTTTGTGCTGCAAAATTAAGGAGGGAAACGCTCCTCAAAATTGGGGGGGCTGTAGAAACGGTAGCCCCCCCACTTTCGAATTTTCGAAAAAAAAGAATGCCATAATTTTGTGCTAATTTTGTGCTATTTTGTGCCGCAAGAAAAAAATTTTGTGCCGCAAAATTAAGGGGGGTAGCAGCATTCCAAATTGGGGGGGCTGTAGAAATGTTTGCCCCCTGTTTCGATTTCTCGGAAAAGGAGTATGCCATAATTTTGTACTAATTTTGTGCTATTTTGTGCCGTAGCAAGACTTTCAATTTTTTCAAATTTAAGGGGGAAAAATTGGTATTTCAAAATTGGGGGGGCTGTGGAAATGTTTGCCCCCCTCTTCGATTTCTTGAAAGTGGAGTATGCCATGCTTCTGCTTTAATTTTGTGCTATTTTGTGCCGTAGAGATATTATTCATTTTTGTAAATTTAGGGGGGTAAACGGGCACATCAAATTTTGGGGGGGCTGTGGAAATGTTTGCTCCCCTTTTTGATTTCTTGAAAAAAAAGTATGCCGTAATACTCTCATAATTTTGTGCTATTTTGTGCCGCAAAAAGAAAATTTTGTGCTCCAAAATTAGGGGTCCTAAATACCACCCCAAATTTAAGGGGGAGGTCGCAGGTGCGGCAGCCCCCCACTTTCGAATTTCGAGAAAAAAAGCACGTCATAATTTTGTGCTAATTTTGTGCTATTTTGTGCCGCAAAAAGAAAATTTTGTGCTCCAAAATTAAGGGGGTTAAATACCATTTCAAATTGGGGGGGCTGTAGAAACGATAGCCCCCCACTTTCGAATTTCGAGAAAAAAAGTACGTCATAATTTTGTGCTAATTTTGTGCTATTTTGTGCCGCAAAAAGAAAATTTTGTGCTCCAAAATTAGGGGGATTAAATACCACTTGAAATGGGAGGGGCGGGGACTGTAAGACAAGTTAGCGCTCCGGCGGAACCCGAATCTTCCGCTCCGGAGTCGCAGGCTCGCAGGTAGCCGGAACCTTTGGCAGCGCAGCGTGGTCACATCTCTCTCCGCTTTGACTTCTGCTCATGGAAACGGACGGAAAGGGCCAAGCACCGTGGCAACTCAAGAAAGATCCGGGCGGGAGATCCGGCGCGGCGCTCTTTGCACGGGATATTTAACCAGAGAGATTTATCCTATAATCATTAAGGATCCTTTTTGGAGGGTTATATACAGTTGGGTGTCAGCGAGTTCCAAATCGAATGTTGCTCTACTGTTTTTATTTTGCACGCTACCGATTATTATTTACTGAATCGAACAGTTTTGAGAAATAAATGATTGGCTTTCATTTCAGAAGCAACAACAATTTTGACACGTATCCAGCGAAACATATCATGAAAGGACCATTTTTAAGGAATGTTTCAGAAAATGTGTTATCGTTGATTTCAAGACCTCCGAAATCTAGTTTACATTACCTCACTGGAATGCGCCCTGTGCTCTTTTCCAACTTTTAATAACAAAATTCAATTTTTCCACCATTTTTCGTTAGGTGCCGATGTTTGGTTTCAAATAAAGTGCCCACACAAATACTCTCTAAATCTTGGTGTGGTATTCATGATTCTGAGGAAAACTACTGCACATTGGGCCTCTAGACAAGGTATGAATGACTAAATCTTTAACGTCGATCAATGGTAAACCCCCCTTCTTACGAGAAAATATGTATATATTCCAGGAAATGCTGATGAGATGAAGAAATAGGGATAGTATTATCGGACACAGCGGAAAAAACTCATGAATAACAACCATCGTATGTTAAGCTTTGTTTTCGGACGCAGACCTATGCAATTATTTGAGATTTTTATACCGTCATTTACCCTCCATAAAAGCACTTTCCCGTGTTTCACCGCTAAAACGAGAGGTGAATTTATTGTTTTTGAAGTGTCTGATGGGACTCTTCCCTCTCAATTTTTTCGGCTTATTCCGAATACGGTTTCAGATTTTTTTTCTAGAAATTACCGATTTTCCGGAAAATTGCATTTTCTAAAAAAAAAAAGTGTTCTTCAATGTAAAATCCCATATAAAAAAGACGCCTCAGTCGGCATGGGTTAATATTATTCAATTTGTCTTAAACTTGGCAGAGTCTTTTTGTTCAAATGAATTGATTTCAGGGAGTTAGACCAAAAAAATTCTCAAAAGAAATTTTTTCATGTGTGATTGGGCTACTATAGCCATCGATATGATAAATCCGGTCCCTTGAGTCACGTCACTCCGCTTGATTGCGATCAATGTATTCTGTTCTATTTCGGAGCGACCCTAGCAACCTGAAAATTTTTGCATCGTCTTGCAACACCCTATATACCCCTGCTGGTCGATCACGGAACTAGAAATGCTATTGCTTTTGTTCTTCATGATGGGCCATTTTTAATTACTGGCCGCTATGCAGTCCAACCCCCAAAGGGCCCGCTTCGCAGGCCTTTGTTGCTCAATTTAAGTATACCGGGGGCGCGCTACGACGTTTGGAAAATCGAATGAGTAAATACCATAATCTCGTAATTGGCAACACAGCAATCCTCTAGACCGCTACTCGGCACGCTCGACATCGCTGCCCCATTGTCTCGCGCTTACCTGAATCTGACCCTCGAAATTTCAACCGAGGATTAGACAGCTCGCGAGTGCAATTTTTTTATTTTTTCAAAAAAAGTTTTTTTAGTCTATATTTTCAAATTCGCGGTAAAATTTCGAGCAAATCGGTGGTCAAACCAAAGAAAATACGTGATTCTGCGGCATAGCAAGATCAATAGGATCGCATTTAGCAAACAGGAACCTGCGCAATCACAGTGTTGTTAAAATATTGCTTTTTCATAATTATCTAAAAAAAATCTCCCAAAGTAGGAAATAGTTCTTGCTTCCCACTAAATAATTTTTGTTAATTTTGAAGGGAAGTTATTCTGTAAATTTTCATACAGTACATATATTTCGTATTTTTAAAAGAAAAAAAAGTAGTCGCACGATTTTGAAAACACTGTAATCACGCTGGTTTCTTTTTGCTAAATGCGGTCCAATATTTCTTCTGCTGAATTTGCAACTTGCGGACCGACATCTCCGTTGTATATATACAAGTCATAAAAAAATGTAGTTCATTGTAATCTGCTTTTTCCGCAGAATGTAAGTTTACTAAGAGAGTTAAAGTCGAAGCAAAT